ATTGATTTATTGAATCGGAACTATTTGTTCAGCATAAGGATCAATCTTCTTTACAATACGTTGGACAATACTTTATATGCCACGTTAAGTAGGGTGATGCCTCTATAATTATCACACACCATCATATCTCCTTTTTTGTGAAGAGGGTGGATTACACCTAATTTTCAGTCTGCGGGCGTTTCCTTCCGTAGCCAGATTTCGGTTACTAATTTATGCACGTATTTAAAAAGGGTGTCACCACCATTTTTAAAGAGTTTGGCAGGAAGATTGTCCAAACCAGGGGCTTTGTTATTTTTCAGTTTTGAAAATTCCATTTCTGCTATATGGTCGAAAAAATTACCGCTCTCGCCACGGTGCGTAGAAGTACCTTTATATAGCCTGTAATGTCGGTCTACCTCGGTAAAATTGACCGAGACGGCACCACATTTACGTTAAAATTCTCTCACAAATAGACCTCACTGGCTTGCAGAGCAATTTTTTCTCGGTCACACAAACCGAGACGGCAGGCAACGTGTTAAGGAAAGAAAATGCCAAGAAAAAATAAAACAAATCGGAAAATAGAAAGATTCTCTGAAGATCTGATGAGACAGTCATTTGAATTAGTATAGGGTGGCACCTATGTACGGCAAGCAGCACGAATGAAAGGACTATCTTTCCAAACAGTCCACAGATAAGTAAAAAATCATTAACAAGACGAAAGCGTCCGTTTAGGTCCAAATTACAAAGTAAAACAAATTTTTACTATCGAACAGGAGAACGACTTGTGCAAATAAATAATTAAATGTTTTATGGTCTATCAAGAGAAGATACCCGAAAACTGTCATAAGAAGCCGCAACCTACAATAATATAGTGGTTCCAGCAAACTGGCATACATTAAAAATTGCTTTACTTACCCGGATCAAAGAATTTCAGAAACGTCATTCCAATAATTTACCCCTCTGGACCCCAGAAGGTTGTAGTCTTGCAATGGCAACCGGTTTCAATAAATTTAACGTTGAAATGTTTTTCAGTAAACTTGGAACTGTCTTCAAGCGTTTCCCGGTGTTTGGAGATGTCAGGCATCAATAATTTAGATGAGACAGGAACCGTTACCGTTTAAAAGTCCCAAAAAGTGCAGAAAGAGGTATATGACAGGTTAGTAAGACTACAATATTGGCAGATGTGGAACGCTCGTGACAACATGCTGCATTATTGGAGTATCTGGAGCAGCGATCCCTCCTGCTCTCTTATTCCCGAAAATACACTTTAAATATTTTATTATACCAGGGAGTCGCCCCCTGGAACTTAAGGACTAGCTTCAAAAACAGGTTGCAAGTTGTTAGGCATTTTATTAAGCACACCGGTAGTACCAGAGAAAACCCTTCTTTATTGTTAATGAATAATCATCAAAGTCATTTATCGATTGAGGCAATCGATTTATGCAACAATAATGATGTTACAATCTTAACTATACTGCCACACTGTGCGAACATATTACAGAGGTGTGGCGTAGGCTTATTAAAACCATTTCCAACTTTCTATAATGCTACAGTAGATGCATGGATGATAAACCATCCGGGACAAACATTTACAATTCATGTCTTCACTGAAAAAGATTTTTTGTCAAGTTGTGTGACAGACAGGCCACTTGTTGTAGTTGAAGCTGCTGCTGAAAATATAAATGAATCTTTAGATGTAGAAAATCTAGGTCCAAGTAATATTGATACCACGAAAACCTTTGTTAACAGAACCGTTTTTAAGGGTTATTCTATAGTTCCGACTAGAAAATCTGGGGAGGGCAACAAAAAACGCAAAGGAAAGATGATGATAACTACGGATATCCTGAAAAAAATTAAACTGATTAAATCTTAAGAAAAAACACCAAAACAGAAAAAATAATTAGGCATATATTAGATAGAGATTCTTCTGAGCAAGTTGAAAATGAGATGGAATTACAAGATTCCAGCAGAAGAGAGGATATTATTGGTGAAGATCCCCAACCAATTAGTTTCGAAGATCTTGATCGCTGTCCCAATAATAAGAATTATGTGCTTGTTGAATTTAACTGTAAGCAAAATACATACTATGTAGGCAAAGTCTTGTCTCAAATGAAAGAAAATAATTTTGAAATATCGTTTTTAAGAAAAAGCGCTAAATGTGAAAGCAGGTTTTTTTCCAGTTATGCCAGAAGTCTCAGATGTAATAAAAAGAGACATTAACATGATTTTGCCGCCCCCTGTAAAGCAAGGGTTAACTTAGCTCCAAAGTTCGCTTTTAAAATTTGAATTAAACTTTGACAGTCTTAACGTAAAATGATATTGTTGTGTCCCACATTGAAAGGAACAGTAAAACATTTAGTAATTTTTAGTTTTAATATTGATGAGGTGTTAACGTTAGTTTTTATCAAAAACGATATGATTTTTCATTTCTTGTTTATATACCAAATTTAGAGGTACAATATAGGTATCAATTTGTCATTCTTCCAGAACACATCATAGAGTAAGGTCAATCTATGATTTTTGTTTGTGAACTGTTTTAATCATTACACCATTATAGTTTCTATGTTTCCTGAGAAATTTGTAATTTGCAATGCCTAATTTTGTAGTTATGGTAAGTACGGGAACTTCTAATGTAGCGAATGAAATTTTATATACTTACAAAAAAAAACACCCATGATTTTATTATTCACGAAGCAGAAGAATAGGGACTGATTTCTGGCAAACTGTTTTATTTTAGATTTTCATAACGTGGTTTAGAAAAATTTAGAAAATTCACATTTGTAAAAACTTAATATAAATAGACGATTATCACTACGCAACTTGGAGCATTTTGGTACTTATATGTTACCACTAGTAAATAAGTTAAAGAAAAAAACGAAAAATCGAGTAGTTTAGGACAATGTGAGGAGTTATTAAGTGCTCTCTAAATTTCAGTTTTGACTTAAATACGTTTTTAAAATAACTGATGTAGGGTAATTTTATTTATTCAACTTGTGAGTAGGATATTTATTTGTTAAAAGTTAAAGAAAGTGTTCAACATGAAGCTAAGAACCAACAAACATATATTTGTTACATAAATTGTATGCTTATTAAAACTTCAATGATTTAATGACACGAAATAGCTTATGGGTTTTGGATTAGATTATTTTCTGTATATTAAAGTTATTATTAAAATTATCCTTGGTGATTTTATCCTTGTAGCAAATTTTGTAAATGTGCGACGGGTATTCATGATGAACACTTACTAGGAAAGTTCATTTTTTTGTTAAATTGATTTGTTGTGAAATCTTCTTAATGTGTGATGTGGGCAAAAGCCGATAAATGTTATTTTCTGCTATACCCATTAAGTTAAAAAAAAGGTGGTTATAGAAGACATATTTTTCAAAGAGTTTAAAGATAAATTGAGGAATATTTTCAAACTAACCAACTAGTAAAATATACAATTTGGAAACATTTTATATTTCATGTATTATGTAACACATAACTTAGGCTATTGAATTGTCTATGACCACCATGGTTACAGAAATAAATACGTTATAGTTTTCTTTTAAAACAGTTGTTTTCATAACCTTTTGGTACGATGTAAGTGATATTTGTCTAGTGATTTTTGATTGATCCTCGTTGATTAATAAATATAGATCTTAAGTTTTGATTTATTTTATTTCTAAGCCTTCTCCTTCCTATTCTCCTTTCTTTATTACTACATAAGATGATGCTACTATAGAACAAAGATAATTACGTTGAGAAAAATGGACTGATATCTTTTTTCAGACACAAAAAGTCGGAGGAGAATTTAATGAAACGACTTACTCTCGCATGTTGAAGCATGATCTATGCAAATGACTGGACGACTTATTTTAAACATCGAAAAGATCTCATTTTAAGTAAAGTTGAAAGTCATGTACCTGAACGAAGAATAGCAAAAGCAGGAAGTGTTAAAAAACAACGAGCAGATTCTAAAAGATATTTTCTTGAATGTGACAATCATAGAATAAAAGTAAAGACTTTTTCATAAAAACACTTTGTGTATGCAAAGATGTTGTTGAAAATGTCTTCAGGGTTAAAGGAGAAGGAGGTTTATTTGTTGGCGATGACAGAAGGGGTAAAAATCTACACGATAATAAAACAATTGATTCTGATTTAGAAGTCGTTACAAAACATAATAAAAGCTTGCCTATTATGGAATCCCACTACAGTGGACAATCTACGAAGAGGCAGGACCTTGACTGCAAATTATATAGTATATAGTAGTATATAGTATATTATATATATCGTTTTCTGTATCCTTTGTACGATATTATCATATCGTTTCGTTCACGGTCACCAAAGCAGGTGGCGCCTTTGTAAGCAAACTACGCTGTAGTGAAGTTCTGGGAGACATTCTGAGTTTGAATTTGTATCAGCCCAAGTGTCTGACGATGGCTGGGATAGGCCGAAATGATCATAACACTTTAGTGATACCGATTCGAGCACGGGGAGTTTAACGAATTTGTCTCCTAGGCCATACATTTGGCCTTTTAATATAATAAAGCGATAGCGGCTTTGGCTAAAAGATTTAATCTTTCATACATATATATATATATATATATATTATATATATATATATATATATATATATACATATATAAAATTATCAGCAATACTGTAATATAAATCCAATTTATTAACATTTAAAGGGGTTTTCTATGTATGTATACCTAGTAGCACCCCTGATGATAGAATATTAATTTCAAAAACGTTCTGTGATTTAGCCAAAAAGGGTTCTTTTAATATGCTTTTTAAAAAGTATTTTTCTCATTAATGCAAGGAATTGATCGTTTCCACCTATTTGTGGTTAAATGGCCATTGAAACAAAAAAAACGTTGGGTTAAATTTGAAGAGTTTAAAATAAACTATTTTAGAAAAACATGCATAATTCGCGATGTTTAAAATGAAGACAGATCGTGTATTGTAAATGCTAATTAGAATTATATTTTTACCTATTAGGGACGATATCTACAAAAGAAATAAAACAAATTATTCAATATAAAAATATATTTCTATAACTTAATGGAAATTCATTTATCTTATATCTTTAACTAAATCATCGAGTGCGGTTTTAACCTGCACCATGGTGGGTCTTCGAATTTTCTCTTCTAGACAACATTGAGAAATTTTATAAAACTTCATGGCGTAATCTGCGTTGTTTTCCTTCCAAGTACCAGCTCTGTAATCCACAACAACTGATATGTCATCGTTTTCAATAGTTTCTGCAATGTGGGTTACCTTAAAAATAGATATTAAACTAAAGTAAATCTACTAAGTAACAAAATTAGAATGGGAATATTTAAAATGAGCATAAAGAGCGCATGGGGAATAACTGTTAAGAAAAAACTGTCAAAAGTATAATAAATAACATGTTAATAACTTCGTTCATTTTACTTCATTCGTAATGAAGAAAAAAAAATGCAAAACTGGTAGCAGTCTAGTTTCCTAATGATATACATTTTGATTAAGAATTGCCTCATCTTTTGATAGACGACGTTTAGGTCTATCTTTTTTCAAATATTGGCCAATTTGGGTTTCACATCTAACAAGTTTCAATATAGTATCAAAAAAAAAGTTTTTCGTGTGCAAACTGTACAATATCTTTTTTCAGTTCCTAAGGTTAGCTACGTGAATCCTTCACGTATCTAACCTTTAATGAAATATTCATATACCGTGTCCTATTACCTTTCATAGAGAGAATTATACCTGTACATAGAGAACAGCCACAGCTGTCCTCAACAAAAGAAACACCTAAAAACCATTTGGGTCTACATACTCGACGGAAGAATACGCTTTGCAGGTGTAAAAGAATTGCCTAATCGGGTCGAGCCCCCTGACACAGCTGACACAGACCTTTCATAGACTTTTTTTTTCACAGACTTTTATGAAAGTAGATACTTTCATACGATCCCTGTAGAAGACAGAACTACTTTAGGGATGCGATCCTTGCCACGAAAACAATGATTATTTCTCAATTTACTAAGGATATTATGTCCTAACCCAAGTTTCCTACCCAAGTCCTTTCAAATATCCGACCACTAGAAGTATACCTAGTGTGAAAGAAAAATCACTGGTGTAACGGTAAAGACCTCCAATCAAAATTCCCGAGTAAAATTAATATGGGGCAACAAAGGAAGTATTACTGATCATGGCGTTTAGAAACCAAGATTCGGCACTGGAAAACAAACAATATCAGACTGTGGGTCCTACTTGGTCGTGATCACACGAAATTGCTGCAACTTAAGACACATATTAGCAGCCTAAAGAATTCTGATGGTACAATTAGAATAGGTAAAGTCTCTATACATAATATGAAAACTCAGTCATTAATCTGAGAGTTTAAACGATTACGAATTTATATGATGAGCCTCAGTGAGCTGAGATGGTTTGGATCAGGAACATATGACCAGGTTCAAGAAACACAGTACTACTCTATATACTGAAGGAATTAATTTGGTATATCTATACCATCTCCTTAAATTCGATTAAAACAGACACTCAAAAGTCTAAAAGGAAACGAAATGACATAATATCCTCGGTGACTCGAACGCGAAATCTGACCTGGGAGGCGAATATGGACTATAGTTTATTTTTATGAACGAGAGAGTAATTAAAATAATTTTAACTGGTACCTTCGACCACTCCATGGGCGTTCTCAAGATTAATTGAAAAATTACTTTGAATAATTGTAAAAAATAAATGAATTATTTCAGTGTTATAAAGTGTTATGTGCATGTAAACAAAAGTGACCTCTTTTATCACACACTATATTAGAACTGACTGGCCTACATTAAAAAGGGTTTTAAAAAATTCACATTTTTTTTTAATTTTTAAAAATTACAAAAGAGAAAAAGAGTTTTTAAAACCGTCTAAGGTATGTTAAATAGATGAATAAAAATATTAATATAAAACTTACAGCTACTTGTTACAAATCCAAATCAGATTCAGAAGATGAACTTTCAGAACCAAGATTTATAATAACTGGCTCGATCATTTTATCAGTAATATTGTCCAGCTTCCACATTTTTTCCTCTTCTTTAATAGTGTGATTTACTGCCTTTTCCCAGTTTTCAGGTTTTACATTATCTACGGCCTCCAAAAACAACTGTTTAACATCATGAATTTTAAAAGTGGTATTTTTTCTTGAAACTTCACTCTTTATCTGTGCCCATACCAGTTCAATCGGCTTTAATTCACAATGATATGGTGGGGATCTAAGTACTGTCATTCCACGATTTTTGGCAATTTCATCAATTTCGTATTTTTTAAATTTTTCTTTATGAAGGGCACACAACGAATAAAGTTCCTTTCTTATAGATCCGGGATGGTACGTAATATTTTTTGAACTCAGCCAATTCTGCAAGTCTTTTTTTAACCACTTGGTTGTGGGCAGTCCTTCTATAAGTCTGGAGTGATAACTTGCATTATCCATTACTATTACACAGTTCTTAGGAAGAAGATCTATCATTTGTTCGAACCATTCTTGAAAGACATCAGCGTTCATGTCTTCATGGTAGTCACCGGTACGAGTTGATTCAAAAGTTAATAAACCACCTTCAACAAAACCGTCTGAACTGCCAATGTGTACTAGTATCAGCCTGCGTCCCTTTCCTGATGGTGGGTTTAAACCAGTAGATAAGTTATTTACAAAAGCGTGCCTTTGACTTGTAACAGTTTCATCCTGCCAAAATTTATTTGGTGTATGACCCTCGTTGAATCATGTTTCATCAAGATAAAATATTTTTCTTTTTTGGTTTCTCATTTCCTTTATGATTCTTAGAAAATGTCTTCTCCATATGACAATATCGCTTCTTTCTAATAAAATAGACTTTCTGGGATTCTTTTTCCAGCGGAAGCCTATTTCTTTTAAAAGTTTCCATAACGTACTTTGACTCATTTCTGGGTAATCCTTATCATCTTGAACTGAGACAAGAACTTTATCCAATGTTGGAAATTCTTGTCTAAAGAAGAATTCATGCACTTTCCGTCGAAGTCCTTCTTTAAAATGATATTCTATTTGAAATTTTGGTTTCCCTGGAGCATTACGTGGCATTTGAAAACTACCACATTTCTCTTCTTTAATAACTCTGTAAATCGTAGATTTCCCAACACCAAGTGTACTGCTAACTAACTCAACGGTCTCATCAACACTTTCACATAAACGTTTGTCTGTAAATGATTTAAAACAATTAAATATTAATGTTTTTTCATTAACTGTTAAAAGACCAATTTTTCGGCGTTTACAGGGCACTTCCAAATTTTCCATAACACTAGTATACACAATAAACTGCACCTTGCAACTGAAGTACCTACTTTTAGTAAACTGTTAAGAATTTTGAATACGCCACTTGGACCTTCCTACAAAATGGAAAAACCCACTATCACATTTTCTGTGGAATACGTTTAAAAGGTAATTATCTAGTCAATTACTGTCGTAGATTCCTGGAATTAAAGAATTAAATGTTTGATTGTTGAAATCCTTACTTCGTGGAATGCACTCATTTCAGATAAAATAAAACGTTTTATTTTATCTAAAGAATTAAACTTTATTTTGCAAATAGGTAGGTACTTATTAAACTTTTATTGGTTATATATAACCAATAAAATAAACATCTTACATTTCTTGCAAATTCATTAGTACCTACCTCTTAACCTCCATCACTCCGACACTGGCAACCTTATTTAGGGATTAGTAACCCTCAAAACTATTGTATTCTATTCTGCTTCAACCTTTATACCTGGTGGTCATACTCAATTTAAAATTGTTTTCCTATATACTTCTGTAAACTTAATATTGTTCTGAAGCTATTTTCTTGTGGCATTGTAAATTAATTACTATTTATAACTGGGAATAAGCCACAATTAAAGATAAAAAATACGTTTATTGACGTTTCAATTTCCAATTCGGAAATCGTTCTCAAAATACAAACAGTAAATTAAACAAATTTTGTTTTTTGTTGAAAAAAAAAAAAACAAAAAACAAAATTTGTTTAATTTACTGTTTGTATTTTGAGAACGATTTCCGAATTGGAAATTGAAAAGTCAATAAACGTATTTTTTATCTTTAATTGTGGCTTATTCCCAGTTATAAATAGCAATTAATTCTGTAAACTTGTTGACAAATATCTGTTTTTCATTGAGTCACCCGTATCAACAGTTCAGGGATTTGCATACATAATTTATTGTTTTATTACTCCCTCATACATAAAAATACACTATAGAATAGAGCAATGAAGGAGGCGATAGATTATACCAGTTCTGCCAAGAACACATACCTGGTGTATAACATCATGGTCACATAACATAAGAGAAGACTGCATACATGTAAGGGACTAGCAGATAATCCACTTCACCTAATCGGAAATCAGATATTTGTGGAGTAGAATTGGAACTTCTTTATTCAACTTAAAATCTTTTTATTGTGTAGACAATTGAGGGCACAAATTCAACATTCAAAATTTTTCAAAGCAATTTTAGCAAACATCAGATATCTTACCAAATCAGTTCCTTCTCTGTCGTTATCTATAGCAGGTAATGACGTCAAAAGTTCCAGTACTACCACTCCAAAGCTAAAAGTATCAAATTGCACTGATGCGTCTCCTCCAAAAGCTTCTGGAGGCATATATGCCGATGTACCAAATACAGTGGTGGACGTGTTCATATTCTGAGTTGTCATGAGTTTTATGAGACCAAAATCTCCAAGCTAAAAAAAGTTCAAAACTTGTTACAAACAAAAAAAAATAGATATGAATGTCTGTTGTTAATTTCCACCGTAATTATCACATTTTAAATGTTTCTTTCATGTTTCTATAATAAAAACTAAAACTGATTCAATTCCCGACCTTTCGATTATGAAATCAACGCAAGTGGAAGGAGGCTGATATACTCAGTGGCGTACTTCATACTCTTGTAAGGATTTGTAAGATATGTGTGGAGTATTTGGGATTGAAAAAATTCTACAGGTTTGGCTAAAGGTTACCGTATTGTAGCAATAAATGCGATTTCAGTGCTGGCTGGGGTGCTATTGATAGATCTGATGGCAGAGAAACGCACTGACAATTTAAGTCGAAGAGAGTGGAGCGAAGGCTTGGGTGTGTTGACACGAGAGAGATAGAAAGAGAAAGAGAGAAAGAGGGATAGAAATGGGATAGTGATAGATGGATAGAAAGACATATAAGGAGTGTATAATAAATGGCGAAGACAATGGATGGAAGAGAAAGGCGGATTAAACAAGACGTTTTATTATTTAGCTCAAGATATGGGTCGCCTATTAACATTGAGTGTTAAGCTATCTTCTCATTGAGATATTTACGAGCATTGCTGTTTAGAGTCTTATTTGTCAAAGAAGAAAGTAATGTGTGTATACATTCCGAAGCAGGGTACGAAGATACTGAAGAGAATACCCTGTTTGCAAGGATTGGATGTGAAAACGTGTTTGAGAATTGCTTTGATGATAGGATCACAACGCAAGTCCTATTTGAATTGATACACAGTAGCGACACAGATTAAAACCTAGTGACTGTTGTGATTGTGATACAGTTAAAAAAACGAGCGACTCAAGAAAGGGGGAAGGGGAGATCGAAAAAACGTGGCATCAACGTTATAATAATAGAGTAGAGTAGCAGGATATATGTGGTGGAGAGCCGATAAGGAAGTGAATGGGACATAGAGAAGTACTATTAGTTAATCATCATGGAAAACCACCTAAAAACTATAAACCTAAGACTAAAACTATAATAATAGAGTAGAGTAGCAGAATATATGCGATGGAGAGCCGATAAAGGAGTGAATGGGACATAGAGAAGTACTACTATTTCATCATCATGGAAAACGACCTAAAACTATAAACCTAAGACAATGAACGAGCAGGAGGTCTGAATTCAAAGACATAGACAGATAGGCACAGAACTATCCAGGGTTATGATGTCAAAAGAAGAAGATGAATAATAAGTGATAGGAATTTTTATATTCTATATTTCCAACAAGGTGTGTCAAAATATTCACAAGTTCAATGAATCCACTATATCAATTTTCAATGGTAAATAACCATGTAGTTACTGGTAAAAAACACCAATAAATCTCATTCTTAAAAGAAAACTTAAGATTTGATGGATAAAATACTAAAATGAATCAGTTATTCGCTATTTTGTTCCAGTTTCGGATGCAATATTGCATATACAACACGTTTTTTGTTTCTAAGCATACAAAACAATCAAACGACCATGGCTACCCTCAAAAGTAAATATACATCAATGGATATAAAAGATATTAATATTTGTAGTTGTGTTCTAGTATAAACCTGTAAATAGATATAATTCTAGCAGAGGTCTAATTGCTTTTGTAGTACTACATACCTTTGGCTGATCTCGAGAGTCTAAAAGGATGTTGGCAGATTTTATGTCTCTGTGAAGAAGTGGTGTTGGAAATGCTGTGTGTAGATAAGCTATAGCTTTTGAAGTTCCCATAGCAATGTTTAATCGTTGTTTCCAAGACAGTATATTCGAAGAATTCTAAAAGAGAATAAAAATGTTTAATATCATCCAAGTATGCAATAATTATTTAAAAAAATAGTATGATGGCAATACTCTAGTTTCGGGAGTACAATTCAACTACTTACCGCTTTCTACTTTATTTGACGTAGTAATTTGTTCAAATTTTTTGGATGCTAGAGAAATACGTACTTTCGCTTTAGATACTGTCAACGATACTAGGTTATATATATATATCCTATAGGACTGTATCTGCGGTGGCCTTATGGACTATAACGAGATGTATTTCTCATATTCGTCGTCCTCAATATTTGACAGCAGCCATAAAAAAAGAAGAAAGAAAAAGATCAATAGAAAGATATCAAGAAGAGTGGAACAACACGGAAGATGTTGCCCAGTGGACCAAGATGCTGATCCAGAGCATAAGCAACTGGATGGACTGTGGTCACAAGCGACTGGATTACTTCCTGACCCAAGTGCTCACAGGACATGGGTGTTTTAGGGCATATCTTCATAGGTTTAGAAAGACAGAAATAGATAATTGCTACTGTATCTATATTCGTTGCTCAGATTCCTCTGGTAATTCTCTGTGTCATTTGCTTTGAGCAAAAACTCGTGTATCTCCCTTAAAAATAGTCACTATTCCAAGATTAAAACTTTGTTCGGCTTTACTGTTGGATGAATTAATGCAAAAGCTAAAATCTTCTTTACATTCACATGTGAAGAAAATCTCTTACTTTTTTGATTCTACTATAACACTTTCCTGGATTAATACTTTCCCCCATTTGTTAAAAGTCTTCGTAGCAAATAGAGTGGCACAGATTCAATCCTTAACTAAAGCTACTAATTGGAGGTATATAAATACAAAAGAAAATTCCGCTGATTTACTAATCCGTGGAATTTCCACACAGGAGCTGATATATTCCGAAATTTGGTGGAAAGATCCCAAATATCGAACCAGCCCCAATTATAAATATAATCAAACTTTCGTACCTTCTTCCTATGAAAATCTTCCAGAAGTCAAGCACAAAGTTTAATGGCCACTTTATCTTCTGTAAAGAATTTTTAGAAATTCCAAGGCATAATGACTACTCTACCTTTGAAAAACTTCTAAGAATATCTGCTTATATATTACCCTTTATTTGCCTTTGTCGTCCCAATTCTTCCATCCAGGTCCCTTGACATGCGAATAATTGAGAAATGCTTTAAACCGCACTGGTCAACAAGATTTGTAAGAGAAATTAAATCATTAAAGGCCAAAAAATTGGATCCCTCCAATAGCCTGTCTACTTTAAACCCTCCTATAGAGATAATTCCGATATATTAAGAGATGGAGGACGCTTGGATACATCTAATTTTAAGTATGATAAAAAGCATCCAGCTATTCTTCCAAAAAAACATCATATTACCAAACTCTATGCCAAATTAGTTGCAGTTGCAGAACACTGCTAAAAAACCGGTCATTCCATATTGTTCGAAAAAAACCCATATTATTTCTAAGAGCCCCTTGTTTTATTCCAGGAAAATCCGCGAATCTCTAGAGATCCGAAAAAATCCACATAATATCAATCAAGAGGAAGAATACTACTTGTCTCCCATCTGGAATCTCAGTCTAGAGCCGCCGTCCGGTCCCGCTACCACGATGCAGCCACATGATTGGCCAGCGCGCGCTTCTTGACGTTCGCGCCACGGAGTGTGCCGACACGACAGGTCACCGCGACTATAAATAGAGCGGTAGCGGAGTAATCGTCGGATTCACTCCCCGCCTCTCGACGCGTTAGTGTCTGAGCTGTTGGACGTGAATCCCTGTCCTGGCATTTGGTTTTCACCTCTGGCTGCGTTGAGTAGTTGAGTTACTGTGACCAAATGCCCATCTTGGTAATTAGTATTCGCCTCTGGTTGCGTTGAGTAACTGAGTTACCGTTGCTAACTACCCTTCTTCCTGTCCTTTGTTTTCTTTTTCTTTGTTCTCCTGAAGAAGCTACATACAATTGTAGCGAAACGTCGAGATGAACCCACTTTTGGGTCACTCACAAATGACACGGTCCAAACCCGGAAGACGAATAAACTATAATTCTGACTCTGGCCGTGGAAGCCTACGATTTCATTAAATTGTCCATAATTTTTTTAGATGCTTTTGTTTTAATGTTAAAACTGTCAAATATCTGATGTCAGATTTACCTATTAACCATTTAAAGACTTATTTTTGATATCCACAAAGATGAATACATTTGTTGAAAAATCCCTTCGTGAGATTGCAGCGACCTCATATCTATGTGGTGGTCAAGGATAAAAAAGATGCTCGTGCAAAACCAAATGTGGTTAAAAAAAGTGCTACTGTAAGGCAGCTAATATTTTATGCAACTCTTAAGTGTCACGGATGTTTGTCATGCTTGAATAAATAGGATGTATTTTTATATAATCAGCAACGTTGTATTATTTTCTAACACATCACTCAACAATAACCAAGGAGAATAGTTAAACTCAACATTAACCATTTAAAATCAAGATTAACGGGTTAATGTAAAGATTAACCATTTTCGAAGTTTAACCGAACATATACATATAATAAGCTTAAACTTTCAATAATTGTGTTCTAAAATGAATTACCTGTAATCTATCCTTTAATGGCCCTCCAGGTATGTAGTCATACAACAAACAATATGTGCTTCCATCACAGGAATAACCCAGAAGAGACAGTAAATTGTCATGTTTATACTTGCTCAACACTTCAACTTCGGTTCTGAACTGTTTAGTAACCTCGTCGTCGATGTCAACCACTTCCACATCTCCAATAAATAACTTCTTTACCGCAATTGGTTTATTTAACAAACCTAGGGCCAAGAAAACTGATCCAAATTCTCCAGAACCTAATAACCTTCCTTCATATTTCTGACCAATATATTTGCTTTCGTTGAAGTAATTTGTTGCTGTTTCGAGGTTCTGATAGCTGTAATGGGGCAAAACGGTATCTAAGGAGAGATTCGGCAGAGGAGATGAACAAGAACGCGTCTTTGTTGAACTCTCTGATGAAATTTGTGATGCATTGCTCAGCTGGATACTCTGGCTCGCTATGGTACTAACTTGTAGTGTATTGAAGTCAGGTAAATTATTTGAATCAGTTATAACTTCCGACTGTTGTTGTAATAAATCCAAATCTGGCATCATGCTGGCTTCTGAAGTTGTCTCATCCGCTAAAATGTTAAATTCGTTACATTAGAAATGATGAATTGTTGGAAAATAGAAAAGAAAAGACTTTTTTTCCTATTTTTTTGGAGAAAGTAAGTATTATTTTTTACTGTATAAATATTTTTCTACATCAAATTTCACATTGTTATCTAGCTTTATAATGTCATTTATAACCAAACCATATATGGTTTCGTATGCACTCCGTCTAAATTGGTATAAATCCATAAATGGTTTCAAATGCATTCAATCTTATTTTAGTTAAATTTAAGTTTTTAGAAAAATTATCATTTGGTTTTTGTTTTCAAAATGGATCCTGGGAAACTTTATGGCTCATCTAAATGCATTAACTGTATTCCTGGTGATGAAGAACTAAGTGAAGACGAATTGGGTTCAAATTCTGATAATGAGTATATTACTTGATGTCGTCAGTCCCAGTCTGATGATAGTGATAGCAATGAACAAAGGAATTTGGATGAAAATATACCTATTAGCTCTGTTATAAATAGAATTGTCAACAAAAAAACCTGAAGAAATTTTATGGGAATCAGGCCATTTGAATAATTTTAATAAAAGTGAATATGCATTTAAAGGCATTGTAAAGCATTGTAAACCAGAATGTATCCTTGAATTAGAAACTCCTGCAGATTTTTTCTTGGTTTTGTTTCCAAAAGAATTAATATCCATGATTGTCGAACAATCAAACATAAAAGCTCTGCAGGATAACATAAACAAACGAAATGAAGCAATTCATAGAAACCCTAACATTTAAGTTTGATGTGAAAACTTACCTCTTACATTTACTTCCGATTCAGCCCTTTCAGGCTGCAAATTCAAAACTGACAGATTGGGAACATTTTCTCCTGTCGTTTCTGGTTGGATTGTTGAGCCCAAAATCTGACTAAATGCAGGGCTGTAACTGTCAGTAACTGAACTTTCAGACTGCACCGAAGACTGTGAGTAACTCTCAGACATAGTATTCGAAATTGATGAAGCTGAATTGTCAACTGTACTTTCATTATTGCTATTGCTATTACTATTGTTAATATTCGAATTCATAATCATGGACAAATTTGGCATGTTCATTTCCTGGGGCCCAGATATATTCTCGGAGTTGATGATATTTACCACTGCTGGAATTTCTTGAGAATCCATTTCTGTCACTGTACTATTTTGAATTTGTGTGGTTGAAAATTTAATCATATCTGATACATCTTCCTGTACTTCTGGTTCTTTGGGCCTGACTGTTACTATTGGTGTTTGGAATGTAGGCACTCTATTCTCTTCTACATCTGGAGTTATAACAATGTCAGGGATTTTGTTAACTTTCTTTGGAGTTTTATCTGAATATCTAAAATAAAAACATGGTTATAATAAAGAAATCTAATTATAGTAAATTGACCACAATAATTAATTGCATCAATGGCACTGGAAGTTTTATTCTGTCAGCCTTCATTTTTGGAAAGAGAAAAAAAGGGGCAGAAAATCTAGGACTCTTGGTAGAGCCACTGGGAGCAGTGATTCTGAGTGGATCAATGCAGACAAATATCATGAATTGCTAAACTCCTTTATTAAAATAGTTGGACTATCCAAACAGCACCCTTGCTTTTAATTTTGGATAACCATAGTGTGCATTTAAATTTGAATGCTATTATTTTCAACAGAGGAAATAGCGTCATCATGTTCTACTAAAGTTAAACGCTGGACCAGATGCCAAAAATCAGAAATACTCACTGAATCTTTGATAAAGCACACTGAAAAAAGTGAGAATAAATATTGCGAACAAAAACTCATCATAGCGAAACCTCCAGAAAATCTTCACCCTGAGGATGATGTTTTGTATAGTCATTTGCATCGAACTTTACAGCAACTCCAAGAGCATGGAAGTGTGGATTTAGTGCAATATTCGTCAAAAGTGGGCTTATAAATTTCAACAACAAACATTTCAATTTTATTGAATAATTACTTGAATTGAGTTCCGTCATAATCACACAAAACGCCCTCCTTGCAAAGTGAAAAATGCATATGTTTGAGAAAATTGATTTTTTCTAATTTGTGAAAGAAGTAAACAGAACTGTTTTTTGTCTCATCATTATACATACATTGTGAATTCAACAATGGAATGTTTGTACATCCCAAACTGTATTCTAATAACAAATACTATAATTGAAGAAAACCTTTCCTCTTTGTGATCACTTCCCCTATAAATCTAAATATAAGTCATATAAATCTGACAATTACAACTAAAACAAAAACATAAAGGGGATAATGAATAATTTTTATTGATAAACTTGAAACCTTCAGATAATTACATGTGCAGTGCAAGATATTGAAATAATTGATGATACTTACAGAAACATGTTTTTCTTTTTTCAGATTATATTGGTAAAATATAGTCTATGATATGATTAATATCTATCAATAGTAATTATGTAGTGAGAAAAGATTAAAATATAGAATGTGAAAGGTAAACATAAGGGTGATTCTACCTATGGTCACCATACCACATGACTGCTCTTCCCAAATAAAATGTAAGAAAGGAAAAACACATAATCAAACTATTTCTAGATCTTTAATACTTATTTAACAACAGTATAAGACATTTTTTAAATGATAATTGGACCAGTAAAAATGGGAATTGGCAAAAACATAACTTTTATTATACTAAAATTTGAAAACAATTGATGATAAACAATACTTGAAATCCACAAAACTTGCACGCTTTCCTTTCCTACTTTCATTTCCCTAGATAAGAGTATCTCAATAATAACAAAACTTATGAATGAGTTGCAAGCAAATTAAGTTTACTCTTACCTTCTAATTAAATTGACTGCTTCACTGACATAATCCACATCATCAAGTATGTGCTCTATATCATCATCTTCATCCCTTTGCTGAATTATTTCACTAAGATTCACAGGAATTTCTGCTTCAGGGCCAACATCTGGCCTCTTGGGCTTCTCCTGATGGAGAAGGTCAACAGCTACATAATCTGCAGCTCGAAATAAGTTTGCTTTGGTAAGAAGGTAAAGAAGATGCCCCAGAGCGGGTCTTATTCTTCCTGAAGTGCCCCACTCATCTAATAAAATTTCTGTACATGATCGTCTAGACTTGTCTGATTCATTTTCAATTAATCTAAAAAATAAAATTTTAAGTGTTTATTAAATAAAACAATGACAAAAAGACAAAAACAAATTAAAAAATCAGAACTATCAGATGGTTTTCCTATAGTAAGGAAAAGCTTATTCATTTTATTTTAAAAAGTTGCTCTTAGTTGAATGTCCAATAATATATTCTGAAAAGTTAAAAAAAAGACCAACATTGAATTTATTTCACCTATACAACATGAGTTTTATAAAAATCTGCCTCATATGGACAGTCCACAAAAAATGTAAAAGGTATATCTAGACAAAGAAAAAATACAAACAAGAAAACAGAAGGATATACTTTTAGCCTAAATCAAATTGTGACTAATTTTAAACTGATGACAAAAATGTGTTACTTGAGTCTGATTATGAATAAATACTAGTTTATTGTTATAAACATATTTTTAGTTACAATTTCTTATATTGTTTAATAGCTTAATATTTTCATAAATGTAATTATCTTCTTACGATCTTTTGTTAATTGTTGAAAGTCAAAATCATCTACATGACATTTTGACAAAAATTTCATGTTGGATTAAACTTCCTCTTTCAACATTTTAAAAGCACATTTGGAAAATAAACAGAAAGAAAATGATAGAGAATAGCTAAGGTGGTAATACATAATAAACAGTGAAAATATGTAGAAATAAAATATGTACACAAATACATGGAAAGATAATACCGGAAATTATAAAAGTAAACTTAAAATTGAATCCCACATACTAAAAACGTTTTTTGAGTAGATACAGATAACCACATATATATTGAAAAGGAATCTTAATACCACTAAAATCTATTAAGTCTTAAAGTTTCATTCGTATAACATTATATCCGTAAGAAACAGGGGTACTAGTGTAATAAGCCGGAACCATGTTTACAGAGATGAAATTTATATTAAAGAATTCTGCTTCACTTACTAATGATTGTGCAATGACTTTTATGCGGTGCAAGACTTTTTTGGTTCATAATACTTTTTTTGGTATTTTTTCTGATTTTTTTTATTATTTGGGCACTTTTAATAGTGTAAAATTAAGAAAACATTAAAATTTGAGGTTTTTTTTTCACTTTTTCGGCTAAGTCCACAAAAAATTTGGCATTTTTAAGGCGTTCCGGCTTAGTAAACAATTACCGAAACAGGTATATGGAGAAAGAATCTTAAAATCACCAAACTCTAGTAGAGTTTCATTGGTAACGCAGAGAAATCTAGTTCTATCCATTAAATTTCATTGTAGATATATTAATTTCAAAAACTTTGTTCATTTGCTTATTGTATTGCTTACCTAAAATGTTCAGCAGTATATTTATGAGGATTATGAGTAGTTAAATCACATTTGTAGTTGGTTTTCTCCAGCGATTTTGGAATTATGCTCATTAAACGTTTCCATAGTTCATGGGTCTCTAAAATAGATGATAATTCTCTAATTTGACTAGGGCGTAATTTTCTTATTTCTAAAGAAGGCTCCATTAAAATCTCAGACATGGTAATGTAATGTTATTAAAAGAAAAACATACTATTATTTATTTTCAAATTTGACGTTTCCCATCACTTCAAGAAGGTTAGAAGGCACATGATTAAAATTTCCCTTCACTTGTCACTTTTCAAAAAAATTGTTTAGCAAAGTTAAGCAAATAATTTTAAAATCAACTTAACCATTACAATTATAAAAATTTTTGGTAGTTTTTATGATAAAGGGTGTTGTCGTAGTATCATGGATAAAGGGTATCGTTTTATTAATATTTAATTGGCCTGCTATATAGGCAATATTCAATACACGCGTCAGTAGTTTTTTTACATAGTGAGTATTTTTCTTAGAGCGTGTACACTAAAAGCTAATGAATTTTTATTGATTTGTTAAGAACACTAATATAAAGTAATTAAAGGAACATAAAAATATTGACACACTTTAATTGTGATTTATCGATAGTTAACTGATATTTAATATATTGTGTAGTAGGTAATTTAATCTGAAATTAATTCTCTATAAATACAATAAAAGTTGTGAAAACATTGTTTTCAACATGTAGACGAAGTAAAATAATAGTAATGTAAAATTAAATTCATTTGAAATTGTCAATTGGTCGTCTCTCCAAGTTGGGGCAGAGACATCCTATTAGAATCGGCGGGTTGTTGAGCTGGTGAACCAAAATATATTGAGATATGGTAATCTAAACAAAATATTCACTGGCCGTGCAGGTTTGGAAGTTTGATTACTGGCTCATGACCTCTTTCTGTAAGAATTTGACTTTGAAACTGGATTTGACTGGATTAAAGTCGTAACAAAACGGCGCAAACCGTATGTTGATAGCTTTTGTAGAACTCGAGATATGAATAAAAACGCATAAACACAAATAAGTATAGTATTGACTCATCCTTTATTATAACTGAAAATTAAATATGTGAAAGCTCATACAAACATCTCGATCATTAAAACTTAATGTCCAATTAATTGTTCAAATTGTTTTTCATCATTGTCCACACAAAGATTGTCCACATTGTCAGCTGTTGATATACTATTTATTGCGTTTATAATGCGCTGTTTCATCTCGACTCGCGTGGTTGGTCAAGTTTGGTACACTAATTCCTTCAATCTTCCCCACAGATAAAAGTCCAGATATGTTAAGTCTGGAGATTCCCCTTCCAATCCATTTATTTGGATAACTTGCATACAAATAATCTCGAACTCATCTGAAAAAGTGAGCAGGACACCCGTCATGTTGTAATATCATATCTCTTCTTGTTTGTAAGGAAATATCTTCCAATAAAACAGGCAACTGATTTTCCAGAAAATCCAAATATTTTTCGTCATTTAAAGTTATATCAAAGAAATATGGACCTACGATCTTTCCATCAACTATACCACACCAAACATTAAGACTCCATCTACCTTGAACCTGCACCTCATGTATTCAATGCAGATTTTTTTTAGTCCCATAATGCATATTATGCAGATTAACATCACCTGCACTATTAAACGTAGCCTTGTCTGTTCACAAAATCTTTGACGTGATACGCCATTGTTCTTCTAGCAGACCTAACATTCAATTGCAGTAATCCAGCCTTGCATCAAAATCTCTCTCATGTAAAGCTTGGTGGAGAACTACATGATAAGGATGTAGTCTAAAAAACAGAACAACAAATATTAGTGAAAAAGAAAGCACTATATTTACTAAAACTCAAAAATCTTGAAAAATCTACAATTGTTTCACAAGATAAATCGTACATAAGTATTTTTGAGAAACGGATAAAAGGATAAAAGCGCCGTGTTGCCGTTTTTATCGGAATATTAAAATAACTGTTGAATCTAAAGTATAAAGGGAATTCCAAGTTTCTGACCTAAACGTTCACTTTATAATATGAAAAACCAACCTGTGATGTTTTAAAATCCTTAAAACAGTAGTTTTGGGTATGTTTAATTCTATAAAGATTTGCCGACCACTTATATGTGGATTCTGTTGAATCTTAAAGCAAGAACATTCATTGTATTATCTTCGGTCATACCTCTACTACATCGTTTAAAACAAGGACGGTATAAAGTACCAGTTTCTCTTAATCTTTTTACCTTTCTTTCAAATACTTCTTTGCCATAATGTCTCCTATCAGGATATCTTACAGAATATATACGTGAGCGGCATTTTGGTGACATTCGAAATAAACTCCAATCATATCATACAATTCTGCATTTTATATACTCATCACGGATTATTAGTACACATAATTAATTACTAATATTACCAATATTAATATCTATTGAAAAAAGTGCTATCTTCAATTCGGATTATAACACTTTCAAAAAAACCATTTTTAGTCATATAAAACAATGGTCAAAATAGGTATCAACATTAAGATTCTTTTGCTATAAAAAAATTTGAAAGTACCTACTGACTTATTTTTTCATTTAATTTATAATACAGGGTGAGTCAATACTATACTTACTTATGTTTATGCGTTTTTTATTCATATCTCGAGTTCGACATAAGCTACTAAAATGTGGTTTGCGCCATTTTGTTACGAATTTAATCCAGTTCCATTATAGTTTACAATAAATAGGTAATCCCATTAAACATTTTGAAAAAAAAACGAATTTTACTTTTTTGTATTGGAAAGTACCCTCTACCTATGACAATTAAAACTAAATGCAATTATTTTATAGTAGATGTAAATTAATTCATCCACACTGTTTCTAATGACATTAATTTCGTTAAAATCGGTTAATCCAAACCAAAGTTATAGGTATTTATCCACAAATACTTCCCCACTCTCCCCCACTCTTTATTTGAAAAAATAAAAAAAAGTACTTTGTGAAGACTTAAGGCCTCTTTCTAGTTTACTTATTTAACACTTATGCATATTTCTAAAAAAAACTGGTTTTCAAAGTTTTCTTCACAGGTTACGTCCCCTAGCGGTTAACTCAGAAACTTAAAAGTTATTTCCAGCGATTTCTCTTGGCCACTTTTACTAGGACATTTTTTCTCCTAAAGTTATAACATGAATAGTTTCTGATATATAGCCGAGAGATCGGCTTATTGGACCACCCGGTACAATTTTACTATTGAGGAAAGTACATTTTAGAATAATTATTATATCAATGTACTTTTTTATTACTTAAAATCAGATATTTTTACTATGCTCTACGTAGATTTACCTAAATATAACACAACTTAATTTTAAAGCTGGCAAGTCCTTTATTCTTGCTACATTGTTTAGCAATAAGGGTGGTAGAGCTCATATATCAATTCTCACTTCATAACCAACAGTAAAACACGAGAGTGAAATATCGTAACTGTCTCTGCAACAAAAACGCGCTGCCTGCCTTTCCTGTATAATTCTGATTAAAATAATACATCATGGCAGACAAATGATCTTTTGTGCAACCGAATGGGGCAATTGAAGTTTTTGCATAGCGTTCAAACAATCCCTGAATTGGCCAAACAATCACATTCGCGGTAATAACCAATTCTAGTACTTGATTTATCATTCCAAAATCAAAAACATTTCCATGAAACATTAATCGACCACGCTATAAATAGTTCATGTGGGAAACTGAGGCTATTTAAAAATGTTATAAAATAGCAGGACACAGCAAATTATAGTCTAGTTTAAAATAAAGATCTGACGTCAAAATGTTTCCTTATTTTTGATAGGCAAAAACTAAGGAAACAAATTGAAACCTCCTATTTATTCCTATTTAAATAGTTTAAATATTTTAAATAGTAGTTATTAGGTAACTTTAATTAATTTTATCCATTTTCTTATTACATTGTCAAATTTTTGATATTGTACACAACTGTAGTTTGTAAGAATTTCGCGGTAATCTTTTACCATACGTGCAATAAACTTTGAATAATCGTGTGTATCATACCGTTGTTTACAATTTTGCACCAAGATTGAGGCAGCACAAGCATTTGTTAAAATATGCTGGTTTTCTAATAGTGCGCAGTCATTAATATTGTAAGACTACGCGCGCATTCTTATAAACCAGGCTTTTTTTATATAACGAATTAATCGTGTTTTTTCTTTTGTTTAAGCATGTCTGGCAGAAAACAAACTTCTCAGCGTGCTTTATGCTCACCGGTGGTTATGAAGGCAGCAAGAAATAGGGTTGAAAATAAAGAAAGTAAGAAAAGCGTGGCAAAATCTATAGGAGTGGCGGAAAGTACGTTAAGAAAAAGGCTAAAAAGAACAACTTTAGCTACAAGGCTGGAAAGTATACGACATTAATTTAACAGCAGAAATGGAATATGAGTTTTGCGACTATATAAAAACAATAGATCACATGTTTTATGGGTTAACTTCTGGAGATCTAACTAGTGTCACCAGGGCTATTGGGTTTAATGAACCACAGCGTATGCGGTTTTATGAAAATCTCTTGAAGTTAATGAATACATATAAATTTCCGCTACATGCAATTTATAATATGGATGAATCAGAATTTTCCACTGCCCCACACAAGCCTCCTAAGGCTTTCTCTACAAAAGGAAAAAGGTGTGTCAATAAAATATCTAGCGAAAAAACCGAGGAACCAATGTTACTGTTGTATGCACAATGAGTGCTAGTGGACAATATAATTCTTTCGCAATTATATATCCACGTAGAAGAATGACGACGGAATTTTTGGATGGAGCTTCACCATCGTCAGTTGGAATAGTATCCGACAGTAGTTTCATCAATTAGGACCTGCAGCTGCAGTAACTACGAAACTAGAAGCGTTTAACGTACAATCAGAAGTCCCTAAAAACTCTAGGTCTGAAATCTATATTCAACCACATCAAATGTCTGAATCAGCCTCTGCAAAATACCTACCAATGTTCTTGACAGTCCACTTATTGTTCTTGAGAATTCAACTACTACGGAAAATTTTCATGTACGACAAGAATTTTACAGATGAAAAACAATACCCCTCAGCTTATAGATCTAGTTTTCAACACATCTGCAATAACTTTGTAAGAAAAAGTTGATACAGCTCTAGAAACAAAACATTTGATTTATCAAACACTCCTGGATCATCAGTAAGTTATATTAAATTAACAATTATTTCTCCGTT